TATGGGTGAGGTCGGGTGATGGCGTTAACGTTGGATCAGCGAGCCTTGTCGTCGCCGTCGTAGTACTGGCGGGGTTCTTGGTATTCCTCTTATTTAGGTCGGGAGCTTGTGGATTTCTTCTTTGCCACGAGTTTTTCGTCCTCCCTGGCTTGTGTGTCCTCCATATTCATGAATTTGGTTGTTTTGTGGAGGAGTTCGTCGAGGGAATGGTTTTTGCCGGTCGCGATTTTGTCATAGAACTTCTGGTTTTTTCGAAGGTTGAGCTTGAGGGCGATTATGGCATTCTTATCTGTTGGGTCGCATCGGGAAACGATTGTGCAGAAACGACCGATGTAATCCCGGAGGGTTTCCTTCTCTCTTTGGATGCAGGTCCAGAGGTCGGAGGTGTTTCCCCCTCGCTCGATGTACATGGAGTAGTGTCGGAGAAATTTCAGGGAGAGCTGGGCAAATGTCTCGATGGAGTATGGTCGGAGTTTGTAGAACCACTGGAGTGCATTTCCAGCCAGGGACTCCACGAAGTATTGGCAGAGGGAAGCGTCGTGTTCCTCGGGTGAGAACCGGGCACAGTTCATGGCGTTGTTGAAGGTCATGAGGTGTTTTTACGGGTCTGTGTTGCCGACAAACAACGCTAGGAGTTTGAGCTTCACGGTGTCGCGTAGGGTCATGCGAGTAATGCACTCGGCTAACGGTGTCTACTGAGTGAGCCTCAAGACTTGTTCGAGCTCAAGGGCCGAGCTGGTTGCGTTATAGACTTGTGACTTAATTTCATTGATTTTCTGGTGGAGCCGCGTAAGTTCGGCTTGCGCAGGGGTCTCGTGAGAGGTGGAGTCCGGGGCAGACAGGCGGGATTTGTGTTTAGATCGGGTGCTGGAGTCCTTCACGTGCTGACCTTCGCTGCCCCGTGTTGAAGTAGGGGTTTCCACAAAGATAAGGCATTTAGCTCCCGATGCTGTGGTGTCCGGGAGTATATGGATGGCCATGGGAGTGCCGGTCTCGGTGACGTTGGTATCCCGTGGTGGAGTGTCGGGTCGAGATTCGCGCAAGGTTTCCATATACGCGACCTGATGAGCTTTGATAGCCCCGATCTGTTCCGTTTGTGCGGGTGGAGGTGGAGGGGGCGGGAGTATGCCGGTCGTGTTAAGAGGGGCCCGGGCTGACGTGGGGCTGGTCTTGTCGTGGATCCCGTGCTGTTGCACGTTAGAGCTGCCACCGGCTCTAGTATCCCGGAACCAAGCCCGGACTGCTGTGTGCTGGGGTCCGTCCCGTCTCGCTGGTTGTGGAGGCCGGGGGGTTGGATGATGGTATTGTTGGTGTTAGCTGGCTGTTTCTCCGAAGACATCTTCGAGTTCCGGCGTGTGTAGACGAACTTGTATCTTTTGTTCCTCACAGACGGCGCCAATTGTAAGATCTAGATATCTCTCTAAAAGAAAATATAAAGATTTGTGGGAGAAAAGATAAAGCTGTTTTTATTATTAGCCGGAGCTCGAACTGTACAGGGTTTTAGGTCGTTGGAAAAGAACGCCGACCTAGAATTTGAGAGTAAAGAACCGAGATCTAAAGCAGGAAGCAAGAAGTTATTATTTGCCCTAAGTCTCGAGTCCGGTTTGTGAATGAATGATCTTCGAGGGAGGAGGCTCTTCTTATATAGCCTTCGTAGACCGCCTTGAATCGAATCTTTCTCCTTCGGGATAAAGATAGTTTCCTTTCTTCTCGGGGTTCTCTTTGCTTTTCTTCTGCGATTCGAATATATCCTCGGATATTTCCATATTTAAACGCCGACCTAACTCCGGAGGCAGAGGTAGAATTTCAGATTGACATCTTCTCAATTTATGAAGAGCTTTTAGCAAGGGATACTAAACCTATCACTAACAAAGCTCACATATAATATTAAAACAATATATTTAGGGTCAAGTGGGTTATTCGAGAGAAGATCGTGGAGAATTGTTGCTCTGAATATCCAACGGCTTGATGAGACTGGATCTCATGTCTTGGACTTCTTGGCTCATCTTTTGAACGTCAATGTTTGTGTTCGTTGTCACGAGCTATCCGAATAAGGACTTTTTTGAAAGGTCTTAAGCTCAGATAAGGAATCGAGTTTCGAGATTTCGCCGTACGAGTTGGTGATTTGCATCACACAGTGATTCTCTAGGCAAGCCATATGTCAACCAAGTAGAGATACTTTGATTTGATTTCTAGCGTTTGAAAATCTTTGCGTTGTGTGGTTGTGGATAAACCTCGTACAGTGAGCCTTTTTTATAGTAGCAAACTAGCAATTGTGGGATTCATCATTCATGTCAATTACATCTACTTTACTTCTTTGTGTGTCATTGAGATATACACACACACGCATGAAATTTTAATATTAAAACTAGATTGTGGACTTCCGCACTTGCGCGGGTTTCTTTTCATAATATGTTTTTAAGTCATACTAAAAACCAGTTTATATTAAATTTTTATTCAAAAAATTAACTTATATTATAAATCCAAAATTGTGGCCAAACAGAATTTTTTTAGATTATATAAACTATTTTTACATTATGATTTTATGTTCTTAAAATTATTTAGGCTTGATTTTCTTAAAAAAAATATTTTGATTAGAGATTTTTTGGTTAAATTTTGTAACAAATATTTTTAAAATATTATATTTTATAATGCAAGAGATATTTTACTTGTTTGTAATTAATATTTCAATATTTACTTAGGTTTTGTTTGTTTTTGCATTCAAATACTTATTTGGATGTAAATGTTCCAATATTGTTCTTTTAAATATCTAGATACAGAATCTATAATATCTCAAAAATTGAATATTAAGATGCTAATAAAAAAATAAAGTTTGGATGCAGCATTTGAATCTCAAAAATTAAAAGACCAAAACATCTTTTAATTTAAACCATAAAATTAAATTTTTTTTCTTTGTCAAAACCATAAAATCAGAGTTTTCTATCAAAATAAAAAGCCACATTTTCCCCCAAAATACTAAAACCATGTTGTTGTACCAAAATCGGGAATTTCCATAGAAACTGTAAAAATAACATATTCTATCAAACAATATTTTCCTGCCAAAACTGTAAACCCACATTTTTTAACAAAATCAAAAATTACTAAAATCATATTGTTGTACTAAAATCAAGAATTCTCGTGGAAACTGTAAAAATAGCATTTTCCATCAAACTGTATTTTCCTTCAAAAACTGTAAACCCACATATTTTAACAAAACCAAAATTTATGTTTTTTCCAACACCATAAAACCGTATTCTATGGCCAAATTTCTAAAATTACGTGTTTTTGTCAAACCTGCAAAATTGCGTTTCTCATCAAATCCGCAAACCTGCATTTTCCATCAAAATAATGCAAAATCGAGTTTTCAAACCCCGCCAAAACATGTAAACCCCGCCAAAACATGTAAACCACATTAAATCCGTAAAATCATGTTTCTCGCCAAATTCACAAACCTATCTTTTTTTGTAAAATTATAAAATCCGTAAAATCATATTTTACAACCAAATTTCTAAACTCACGTGTTTCTGCCAAACCTGCAAAATCGAGTTTTCAAACCCACAAACCCGTATTTTTCCGCGTGACTATATTTTTCTGCTAAAACCTGTAAAATGCATAAAATCTGTAAATTGCGTTATTCGCATTCCGTAAACCCGTGTTTTCCCATAAACCCCGTAAAATCTACAAAATCATGATTTACGACCAAATTTCTAAAATCATGTGTTTTTGCTAAATCTACAAAAGCACATTTCTTTGTCAAACCGACATTTTCTCGTAAAAATATATTTTCCGCTAAAACTTATAAAACCCACTAAAACTTGTAAAACCCGTAAAGTCTACTAACTTGTGTTTGTCAAATCCGCAAACTCATGATTTCTGGCAAAAGAATCATTAACAAACCAGAAAAATAAATATTTACATAATTTTTTTTAGTATGTATATATATAACCAAAAAAATAATGATTATATATTCATCATTGAATATTAATTGTCACATTGAATAAATATCGTATTAGCTTTTAGACATAAAGTAGTGATTTTCTTTTAATTGTATAGAGAAAAAATTGATTATAATATAATATATATATTTAATTTATAATATAATATATATAATTATATTAGTTATTCATGCCATATATATTTGTGGTAATTATGTTAAGATATTTTTAAAAGATTTTGAAATAATTTCGAAATTAAATTAATTTAAATTTTATTAATATCAAATATAATTTATTGGTATTATCTGTTAACAACCTAATATAATTTAATTTAATTTAATGTATTTTTAGTAGTTTAATGATATGACTAAATTACCTTTAATGAATTGATAAAATTGTCTAGTAAATGTAATGACATATATTGTAAATACTATGTTAGCTTTTAAACATTTATTAAAAATGATTCTTTTAATAGTATAGATAATCCAGATGTTAATGTAATTGAATGAAAACTAAAAAATATTGAATATTTATGTGCATGCGAATGAATTTTGATCAAAGTATAATTATGTGCATAGTCAATCATGATAATCATGATTCATGATATTTATGTGCATACTATGCAAAATTTTGATCGAAGTATATTTATGTGCATAGTCAATCATGATCATCATGATTATTTAGGTATTTTCGAGTTTTTATAAACACTTTTAGTTTTTTTCCTATTATTAAGGCATTTCTAAGATCTTATTTAAGATTAATTTAAATTTATGTTTTTCTTTTATTATAGTATTAAAATTATGCTTGTAATGCAATTATTTTTATTACTCTTAATGAAATCATGAAATTTTCTAGTAAATATAATGGTATAACTTGTAAATACCATGGTATGAATTGAACATTTATAAAAAATGATTCTCTTTTAATAGTTTAGATTTTATGAATTTAAAAATATTAACATCTAAGATTTTTTTTTGTATTTATAAGACCATGAACAATGCGGTCTCTTAAGGTTAATTCTTAAGATAAAGATGTATTTAATTAAACAAAAATTAAACTAAAAGAGAAGAATGGTCTCCTAATTAAGAGATTTAAGAGTCGGATTTTACTGACTACATGTTCATGTTTGATTGGGAAAAAATTGAAAAGACAAAAAAAAGAACCTACGAAATCGATCTTTCTCCATTATCTCCCTCTACGCCTTCTTCTCTGGTGCGATTCACTGTATTCTCCTTTGATTTCTTCCTTTTCTCTCCTTCTATGCTTCTTCTCTGATGCTATTCGATGGATTCTCCTTTGATTTCTGCTTCGAATCGATCTCTTTCCTTTCTTTCCCTCTAATCTTTCTGCGATTACTTGTATCTTTCTCCAAGTTGTTTTCGTCTGCAATTATCCTATCGGGATTCTCATATTTAATTCTGATGCATGTCTTGGGTTTACGAGGATTCTTCGCAATTTCTCCACTTTTCATGATCCCAACGAAATCTTAGAGACTCCCCCTCTCAATGTTCCTCATCGATGTTCGTCGTCATCTCCGATTTGATTTCAGTCTTTCAATTGAAATTTCTGATTTTGAATTGCGGAAACTGATTCTGAGTTGTATGTCTAGGTTCTTCGGAAACTGCTTCCACTATTCTTCTTCGGATCAGAAAGAGATTCTCTCTCAGGTATATCATCGAACAGTTCATCAAGTGTTCATTTTTAAGTTAAAAGATTCACATTTTTTTTGTTCTTCTCAATCAAAGTCTTAACCTTTGAATGTGATTTGAAGTGTAGAAGTTCAAGAATGTGTTTCTCAGGTTCAAAATCTCTGTTCCCTGTTCAAAATTTTCTGTTTCTCAGGTTCAAAGTCTCTGTTTCTTGTTTCCAGGTTCAGATTTGTATTTCTTAGGTTCAAAATCTCTGTTCTCTGTTTGTTGTAGAGGTTCAAAATCTTTGTTCCCTGTTTTTTGTTTCTTGTAGAGGTTCAAGAATTTGTGTTTATTAATCTCAGTCTTGTTCATATTTGTTAGCTATGTTTGTTCAAAAGCTGTTGATGGAAGCTTGTCCGTGTCTTTATTCACAACCGACGGCAAGCTTGTCCGTAAAAAAATAATTTTTTTTATTAAGAACCTCTAACAAAGTTCTACCATTGAAACATATGAAATAAAATTATTTTAACAAAAGTTCTTAAAAAAATATTTATAATTAAATATTAATTAAGATTCTCATTAGAGTTTCTACCATTGCATATGCTCTAAGAATTATAGATTATAAATTTAAATATATTTACCAAAACTGATATTTAATCAAATGAGATATGAACCTGCACTAAAACATAAACTCGTATTACACTAAACGTACAGACAGTTCAACTTTCTCAGGCCAGTTGAAATGTTTTCTAAAATATTAATAGAAATCTTTCGGTATGCGACAGTTTTCATAATTCCAAAAAAGAGTATATCTTTCGGTATGAGACAGTTTTCACAGTTACATGATTTTGTGATATGTATGCACGCATGCAAGTACACGTATTCGCAACTATTATTTAGATTGTTTAAATTTTACCAGGCCACTTGATATGTAATTATTTTCTTCTATGATCCTAAATGGCTAGTTCGTATTGTATTATTGTGAGTGGTATAAATCGGTACTTATACTGCATACGATAAATGTAGTTTTAACCACGGCCCATTACTGAGAACATCTAATGTAGAACATCACTGAGCCCATATGAGCCCAAATGATGGTTTGAACGTTAACAAATACCCAAGCTCGTGTAATTAAATCTATACCACAGTAGATGATCTAAATTCGCTAACACTTTTCTCTGACAATATTTCAATAATGAGTTGCCTCATTTTGCAGGTTCTATCATGAGTCAGAATCTCTTGAGGTCCGTCCATTCCATTTATCACTCTTTTAAGATAGAAGTCAGAGCTTCCTTCAATTCTAATTTATATATTTTTTTTTTCTTTAGTAATAATATCTGCTTGCAGGAATGTGGAAGGCTTAAATCAGAATTACCATAGGATTAATTAGTAAAGTTATTCCCATATGATCATTATTTTTAAGTATTTGAAGTTACATGTCAGATAGCTTCTTCAATCCTAATGTTTTAATTTTATTTGAGAACCAAAAAGATGAAATATAAAAGTTTCAATATGTGAAAGGAAAATCTTTTTTCAAGTCATGCAAATTGCAAACATTTCAAACATAAAAGAAAACATTAAAAAAGCTGCGAATTTCTACAAATAAATTCATTATTTTATTATACTCCTTTATTTATTAACAGAACGAATTTTATATTCCTCTCATTGTCACTTATCACACTCAGTAAATCCCAAGAATTTATCTTTCTCTCACCAAATGGAAAAATCAGTGCTTAAAACATGGAGATCCGACCCGATTTTCCGGCCGCCGGAGACGCCGTTAGAGCCTATGGAGTTTCTCTCTCGCTCCTGGAGCGTCTCAGCTTTCGAGGTATCCAAAGCCCTTGCTCCTTCGACGAACTCAGGCGACGACACTGTCATACTCGAAGAGGAACCTATCGCCGGCGGCGAAACGGAGGAGGACGGCCTTGTCTCCGGGAATCCTTTCTCCTTCGCTTCCCCTGAAACTTCTCAGATGGTCATGAACCGTATCTTATCTCAGTCTGTGAGTATTTTTCTTGCATTTTTCTCTTCATTCTTCTTTTTTTGGGTCTCAGGTTAAAAAACAAAACAGAGCATTTGCAGACAAAAACGAAGAATTTTGACAAATTTCTTCTGTCGCGATTCTCAATTTCCAAAATTTATTTCGTTATGTTCTCAATTTCATCGAAATTTCCAATTGGGTCATTCCAATTCTGGGCTGAAGATCATTGTCCTGAGATAAAAATTGCTTCATGAATCATGAATTTGTCAGTGGGTTGAACAAAGGAGAATTTTTTTGTCATGCGCAATAATTTGTAATTATAAATTCCTTAAACAAAAATTGAAATGATTTTCTAACACACTCATCTTCAAGGGACCCTTTACATAATCACAAAGTTTTTGGAGTTTTGTTGGAGTCAAAAAAGCTAACAAAACCCACTGTTTGTTTATTTGTCTTCTTTCTTTCTTATGCGATTTTTTTGTTCTGTCTTGTCTTCGCTTTGCAGCAGGAAGTGTCGCCACGAACATCTGGTCGGCTTTCTCATAGCAGCGGTCCTCTCAACGGTTCTTTAACCGACAGTCCTCCGATTTCGCCGCCGAAAATCGACGACTTTAAGGTAAAAAAAAACATTCTCATTATGTTCGGGTTTTTTTAATAATCTCGCCGAGCAGAAATAATCTGGGTTTAATTAATTTAGTAATTGCGTCTGGGTTTCTTCGATATAGCGTTTCTCTCCATGTTAATGCTTTGATTTTAAAAATAAAGATTCTGTACCTGAACATACCCAGAGTTGATGATATCTCTGTTTTTGGTTTCTTCGATGAACATTCATGATTTTAAACATTTCTTTTCTCGGAAACTTAAGTTTTATGATTATTATATACTTGAAGAAATCACCTTCGGTGTATTATAATCTCCTTACTCGATTTGTGTCTTTTGTCTTTTCTTGTTCTTGTTCATCATTCTTTGAAGACTTTCCTTAATTAGATTTTGTCCGTTTTGTAGTCGAATTTTGTTTGTTTATATGTTTTGATGCTGCGAATTTCTGAATTTTGTCAATGCAGCAATTTTGCCGATCAAACTTCAACTCTCAGTTCCGTACGGCGGCGAACACTCCGGGACTTATCACGGCAACAACCACACAGTCCAAGACGGTGGGACGGTGGATAAAAGACAAGAGAGAGAAAAAGAAGGAAGAGACGCGGGCTCACAACGCTCAGATCCACGCCGCTGTCTCCGTCGCCGGCGTGGCCGCTGCGGTGGCTGCAATCGCGGCTGCGACGGCGGCTTCTTCTAGCTCTGGGAAAGATGAGCAGATGGCTAAAATGGACATGGCCGTGGCTTCAGCTGCAACCCTTGTGGCTGCTCAGTGCGTGGAGGCTGCGGAAGTTATGGGAACTGAGAGGGACTACTTAGCCTCCGTTGTTAGCTCCGCCGTTAATGTTCGATCCGCCGGAGATATCATGACATTAACCGCCGGAGCAGCAACAGGTTCTTTCTAAAACTGAATTTGACTTTAAAACCTTGAAACTGATCAAGGGTTATGCCCAAAACCAGAACTTGATGAAGTATTCAAGATAAAATCTTAGAAAAATATAAAATCTAACAAAACTGAGTCAAGGACTATTTTGCCCATTGTTAGAGTTTAGATTAAGAATTCGTAATGTTGTAAATTGATTGTCTTTTTGTTTGTTTCTTGTGCAGCGTTAAGAGGAGTGACTACATTGAAGGTGAGGGCGATGAAGGAGGTGTGGAACATTGCGTCAGTAATTCCAATGGATAAAGGAATCAATCATGGAGGTTTCAGCAATGTTAATAGTAACGGTAGCGGTAGCAGCAATGGCAGCTCGAGCAGTAGCCACAGTGGAGAGTTTTTAGCTGAAGATAACTTCTTGGGACATTGCAGCAGAGAATGGCTTGCTCGAGGTTGCCAACTTCTCAAACGCACCCGCAAAGGTGAAAAAATTCTATATCTAGTACAAAGTGTTTCTGTTGTTGTAATTTTTGAGGTGAGAGTTTGTTTCTTGAATCCTTGGGTCCTAATGTTATGGTTTTGTCAGGTGATCTTCATTGGAAAATAGTTTCTGTTTACATAAACAGAGTAAATCAGGTTAGATTCTCTCTTTCTTGTTTCTCAAGTTATTTATTACAACCATTTCTTGGCATCACTCTTATGGTTTTGATTGTTGAACATGAAGGTCATGTTGAAGATGAAGAGCAGGCATGTTGGAGGAACCTTCACAAAGAAGAAAAAAAGTAAGAGAGATTATTAACCCGTTTTATGGATAGAATTATCGATTACTTAAAATTATTAGGAACATTTTAGGTTTGTCTATATCCCTCCATAACATCATTCAAGATTCTAATCGGTTCAAGAACAGAGAATTCGTTTGATATACTCATAGTACTAATGTGACAAAACTAAAGGTGAAAGCTTTAGTTTTGTCGCTGTCTTCTAATACTATCAATAATATAAGAATTCAAAACTTTGATGTGGGTCTACTTTGAACTTGGGGATTTGAGATGAAAAGAATTAAAAAACAAAAGCAAAAGAGGATTGGGACTAAAGTGACCAGAAGATCAAAACAAAAGAAGACTCTATCTCTAACTTCTGTTTTTTTGTCTTTCTTTAAATGTGAACATCAAGACTCTTCGTTACATTTTTTCCGTTTATACTTTCTTTGCCTGATCGTTTTTCTTGTTAAAATTTCCTACAGATATTGTGATTGATGTGATCAGAAACGTACCGGCTTGGTCAGGCCGCCATTTGCTGGAAGGAGGAGAGGATTTGAGATACTTTGGATTAAAGACGATTCTGCGAGGGATTGTAGAATTTGAGTGCAAGAGCCAGAGAGAGTATGAAATGTGGACACAAGGTGTCTCAAGGCTTCTTGCTGTTGCTGCCGATCGGAATAATAGATATAGGTTATGAAGGAGTAGCACAAGAGTTGAATAAGAGCTACTGTTTTTAGGATGATATAATGTCATTGATGTTTAACTTATGGGGCCAATTTAGAACTTGGAGAAAGTTGAGGGGTTTTGTTTTAGAGTAATAATGTATGTTGGGTTAAGGTAATGTATATAGGATGATATGGGAGTTTTCTAAGGGTGGTTGGTTAAGACAAAACTTGGAGTTTTTGTAATTTTGATTTTGTTTTAGTGTGTTTTAATAAAAAAAAGTTTAATTTTGAAGTAATATACATATACATTATTAAAAAAAATGGTCCATTTTTCATATTTCTTGGGTCTAATGATACAAGTTTTCCTCAATGATTTTTCACAAATCGACAATGATCAGATAATAATTTGGGTATATAATAATTGCTTTCATAATGGACTTTTCAAATATCAAATAGAATGGATGTGTAGTTGGGCTGGCCCATTATGTTCTTCTCCACGAGATGGTTTTGAGGTCGTTCTGTGATTAGGTCATCCCTTAATCCAACTGCATGCTTTCGAGTTGCTGAACCATGTCCGAATACGAGTCCCAGAATCTTCAAGATCTTTAGATGTTTCATCGCCCATCTTTTGATGAGTTGCATCAAAGTAAACTATGCTTACATTATGCGACAATGTAAGCCATGCCTTTAAAAAAAACTATGATGCAAATTAACTTATCATAGATGTGCAAGAGTAGCATTCAAAAAGATAAGAAAAGATATCAGATCACTTTCATCTTTACTATAAAAAAGCCTACACCTAATCTTTCAATATTTTGTTTCTGTGCAATTTAATGTACTACTTTATATGTGAAGAACAACAAATAGTTGAAAGAGTCCACGCGTGCATGTGAAAAAAAACATTAACACACAAAAACACAGTATTTTCTGATAAATGTACAAGGGTAAGATGTATCATTTTTAAATGAAGATAACACGAGACTGTACATTTTAAAAAGTAAAGAGTTAAATCAGACATATACAAACAAAAACAGACATTATTATTATATGCATGAAACAGGGTGTGCAGTACGCACGAGTGCATCTGCGAGTTTGTGGTAAATTTTGGAAAAGAAAGTGAGAACCATAAATGTCTCACTACTCACATGTGTCATCACAAATCACTGAAATAGCCGTGTAACGGTGCAAGTACTTTATTATATAGATATGAATCATATTTGGTTAATAATGGATTAATCTACACATTACAATACAAGTAATGGTCTAACTCTAATGTATGTCGGCTTGAGGGACCAATCAAAACCTATGGGTCCAAACATATAAGGAGCATAAATAATTAAACTAGAGGAATTTGTCTACAAATAAGGGGCATATATGATGCAATGTGTATTGTGTAATGATGTATATAATTTTAAATCAGATTATACACGTATACCTTGCAATAACTCATATCATATTGTTATTTTTTTTGGGTTAAAACTACTGTGATATTATAATTTTTAAATTTCTTTTTTTTTTGCTCAAAAGCCAACGATTTTTCAACTAATCTTCATCGTCCTTGACAGCCTCTTTTTTTGGGTAATATTATCAATGTATTTTGATTACATCCAACCACTAATAAAATCACTATTATTATAAAATAATTTTATTTATCTTCGTCACTAATTGTTTGAGGATAAAGTTAGGGCATGAAGATCTTTTGCCACACTAGCAGCGCCAAGCTTCAGGGTAATATTATCAATGTATATCCATTACATTCAACCACTGATAAAAAAAAAAAGACTAATAAAATCACTACTATTGTAAAAAAAAAAAAAATCTTTATCTTCTTCACTAATTGTTTGAGGATAGATTTAGGGCATGAATAATTTGTTGCCACACTTGCAGCACCAAGCTTCAGGGTAATATTCCAATGGTAAACTCAGATCTCGTTGGATCGGAACGCGAACTGCTACACACGGCTCACACTTCCCGCACTTCGATCTACACCTAGGAGGCGCCGAGCCTGGCGCACGTAACCGCTTCTGATCTACGATCCGACCCGGCAAACCCGGTCCCTCCCCAAGTCTTTCACCTGGTTTATCGATCGAGTTAATTCACACTAGTAAATGTATAAGTGATAAAAAAAAAAAAAAAAGATGGTTTTTTTTTAGTTTGCAGTTGCCACTGTAGTTAAGGAATGAGATTCCATATAAGTTGACCTAATATCATAAAACTATGCGATATATTGATAAAAACAACTTATAGATCAAGAGTTTATGAAGGTGCCCTTTAACAAAAAGATAGATCAAGAGTTTATTATAAGTGGATTCTTACTGTTGAAAGAGACGGCGGCGGAGGAGGACGAGGATGATAAGAAAATAAAGAGGAAAGAAAATACGATGAGGGTTGTAATGAAACGACAGAGAAGGTGACGGAGGACGACGCCCATATTAGCCAGAACCGGTGAGGAGAGTTTTTGGGTTTAGGACTTTGTGTGATAACTCAAGAATCACTTGAGAAAATAACAAGAGTTTTGTATAAATTGATGATTAGAGAAATTGAGAGGTAAAAAGCTTCGAAAGCAGGAAGCTAAGTAGTTCTAGGTCTTGATAATGAAGATGCATACTCTCACGAGGTTGGTTATACTAGCTCATTTTCCTTTTTGGAATAGCAAGTTTTCTTTAAATTTAAGCCCACCTCTTTGTTTTTTTAAAAAAAAATTGTCTACGGACAAATTAACTATTCTACAAAAATTCACCATAGATATGCAGGTCCACCATGAATAACTTCAATTGTTCATCATTTTCTTATCTGAATATTTATATTAACCTGCAGAAATCGTATTTTCTGAGAATCGAAACTCAGACCTCCTAGTGTAGAAGCATTAATGAACATTTAGTTGACCACTGGACTAAGGGACTTCCAGAGCCCGCCTCTTTGTTAAAAAGTACATTTTCTTTTTTATCCAGGATATCCTCTAATTTATTTTCTAGTTTTTAGATTTGACATATTTTTAAATATTTTTATTTTACGATCTATGGATGAGAGTAATTTTTTTGTTAATGGGTCGATTTCAATTTATAAAGGATTTTGAGAGAAGATGATAGATCCTTCTCTAACACTTCGGAGTAAATAGGTCCAAACTTATTTTTTTTTTTAACTCTGAGAATTATATTAAAGCTGTGGAAACAGAATGTTTGCTCTAAAAACAGAGCTTCGAAATAACACCAACTAAAAATCAACAGAAGTAAAATAAACCAACCAATTACACTGAGGTATAGGCTTCTCCGCTTCGATAACTTCACGTAATCATCGTGGTTCACCCGAGGCAACATAAGATTGAATCTTGTTCTCCTTTATCACACTTTGTGCGATTAATAAAGCGCACTTGTTTGCACTTTGGGTTTCTACTTGCCATTGCCAAAGCTTTAACCTTTCCAGACACCGTAGAATTATACCTGATTGCCGACGGAAAGCAGGCCAAGCCGTGGGTTTCAAAATTGCTCCTCCGAAGTTTGAGGCATCTGACGCAAAAATGACATCTTCAATGTGTAAACTACACATACTCTCCACCGCCCAAATCAGCCCCAACATTTTTGCATCATTCAGAGATTTCATAAAGCTAAAAGCTCTGCGACTATGAATCAACACATTTCCTTCTCCATTACGGACAATCCACATAGCACCACCTAGACATTTCGACTTTGACCACACAATCCCGACATTGCACTTCACAGAATCCATACACGGAGGTTTCCAGGAAGGCTTGACTAAGGTTCCCTCACTTTCAATCTGATCCACATCCTCCTTCAGCATACTCAGAACTCTGAACCATTGGTTTGTATCTTCCCATATTTTCCCCGCCGTATCCAATACCGAGAAAGATCGACCTTCATAAAGGAATTTGCACCTATTCTTCCAGATGATCTATAGAACCCAGGGGAAGCATCTACTTACCTCATGTGGAACAATCTCATTCGCGAGTCTGTATCAGATAGTGCATATTCACAAAGATAGACTCCTCATGGAAACCTTCTAGAGGGAATGGAAAATTTGATTGTGCCAAGATCTGTCGTGCCATGTTACACGAGAACAGAGTATGATTAATAGATTCACCCTCCATCCCACACATTTGACATCCCGATTCCACACTCATCCCCCTTGTCCTTAAACCATCAGCCACCGCGAGTGCATCCGAGACAGCCTTCCACATGAACATATGTATCTTTGGCGCTGTTTTAACCTTCCAGATGCTCGCTTTGATTGTATTCAGACTTGGGTTAGACCTTGCTTCTCTGGTGACCTCCGAAATGTGTAAATTACGTCGGAGCCAATCCCCTGAACCAACAGTATACTCGCCACTCCTATTGTGAATCCACTCATATTCGTCTTGCAGGTTCATTGTCAGAACAATCTTTGAGATGAGTTCAATATCCCTAGGGAAAAATTTCTCCTCCAGTCGACCTCTATGCCAAAACATAATGTGGGAATCAATGAGATCACTCACCCTGAGGCTAAGATTGAAATTCACAGGTTTCCGGTATAGAGCTCTTGGTCTTTCATCCACAATCCATGGATCCAACCATACATTTAGCGTAACACCATTGCCTACTGATCTTTTCAGGCTTTTCTCCAAAAGCTCTCTCCCTTGTAGGATACTCCTCCATCCATAAGACGGCCTAGCCCCTAACTTAGCAGTTAAAAACGTTGATCCCCTATAATAACGACTCTACAGAAATCTGGCTAAGAGATTCTCTGGATAGTGAATTAGGCGCCAGCCTTGTTTTGCGAGTAGCGTTTGGTTAAAAGCCTCAATATATCTGAACCCAAGCCCACCATTCTGCTTTGCCAAACACAACTGTTCCCATGAGACCCAATGCATGTTCCTTTTATCTTCTTGAGCATTCCACCAGAAATTTGCCATTGCAGTTGTTAGGTTACGACAAGTCTCCTTGGGTAACTTAAAGCATGACATCGCGAAAACAGGCATTGCCATGGCAACATATTTGATTAGGACTTCTTTCCCAGCTTGCGACAAGAATCTTCCATACCATCCATGAAATCTTGCTTTCATTCTTTCTTTGATATATCCTAGCATCTCAGTCTTAGATCCACTAAAGAATTCTGGCAACCCAAAATATTTTCCGGCTCCTCCTTCATTCACTATTCTCAAACGATCTTTCACCTGCTGTTTGTTTCCTCTCCCCACTTTAGATCCAAACGTGATCGCTGACTTATCAAAGTTAATCATCTGTCCAGACGCTTTCTCATAACGCTTGAGAATCTCAAAGAGTTCCGTGCTCTCCGTATCATTCGCCTTACATAAGAGCAG